TATTTAGACAATATTCTAATCTACTCTAAGAACATAAAAGATCATGAACTTTATGTTTGTTGTATATCACAAAACCTACTAAAGATTTTGAATGACATATGAAGTTTTTATCTTGGCATAAAGATGTATTGGATTTTGCTTTAAGAGCATTGTTCTCACAAATGAAAGTAGATAATAAGTTCTATCTACAAGTTTTTTATTCTAAAAAATTTTCAACAATCAAGATCAATTACATGATCCAAGACTAGATCCGCATATTTTGTGTTATATACAAAATGTATTATAACAAAATTTATTTTGTATATAACAACTAAAAGAAAAGCTTAGAAACAACTAAGCTTTTTTTTAACAACAACTATCATAGTTTACTTAAAAATATCATATCAAATCAAGGGACTTAATTTGTATCAAGATTTTGAAGAATCTATTTTAGAATTTTAAAGATGGATATAAAACTATCTTTGAATTTTTATTTTTAAATTAATAGATAAATAAATTATGTGAATTCAGTTTTGAAGCAATATTTGAGATATACCATCAAATACCAATAAGATGATTAGACAATTCTTTTGCCATTGGCAGAGAATAATTATAATAATATAATACATATTTCTACTTAACATATATTCTTTTTTACAAATTATAATTATCATCTATGATTTGATATTTTTTACTTTTCAAAAGTTGATAATCCTATAATAGAAGATTTTATAAATTACTTGTTAAATTTACATACAATAATAAAGGCACAACCAAAAAAATCTCAAGAATGACAAAAAATCAATGTAGATGCTTATTATAAAGAACAACCTCAATTCCATGTTAGTATCAAGGTATGATTACTTTATCATAATATCAAGCCTATTTGCCTTTATGACAAGTTAGATTATCAAAGACTTAAATTATTTTCTATTTGTGAATAAATCAATGTAATTGCTTACAAATTCTACTTTTAGGAGTCTATGAAGATCTATCTTATATTTCATATGTCTCTTTTTAAATCATAGAAGACAATGAATATCTAAAAAAGAAGACAAATGCCACCTCATCATATAGAAATAAACAATAATCAAGAATATGAGATCAAAGAAGTCTTAGACTCTAAGCGCTGCTCAAATAGGTTCTAATATTTTATTCATTAGCATAGATATGATATTAATAAATACTTATGGAAGTCATTTAAGAATCTTGCAAATATAATAAAAAAAAATTGATCTTTTTCATTGATATCATCCATCAAAATCAAGATGAAGAATAATAAATCTTTGCTATAAAAGAAATACCGTTCAAAAAAGATTGCATTCTACCTTCTATCTTCATTTGTAGTTTCTATGTATTTGTAGTATTAAAGAGATAGAGAACCAACAACGAGCTGATTCAAGTCAAGAGCTATCATTTATTGACTTATCAAATCAAACATTGCAATTGTCATAGCCTTCAAGATGACATAATGGAGACAAAGACCTTCAAGAACAATATATTTTTTTTCAAATAGATGGCAAAATATAATATATATGATATCATAATCTTAAAAGAGACTCTTAATGTTGAGTGATTTTATTGGAGGTAGAAACAACTCCTAACGGTGTTTCAAATATTTTATTTGAAGGGAGTCACAAAGACCTCAACATTGATCAAATATTAAATTGGTCTTCTTTCCCTAGTATGGGATACTATTAATGACTCAAAAGATCTGTCAACCACCTACAAAGAGAACAAAAATCAAAGTATATAACAAACATAATTTGTTATATTTTAGACTTCTTCAACATATGATTGCCACTCCACATGGAACTTGATCCTAAAAGGAAAGATAATGTCATAGAGATATATATATCTATATCTATATCTATATATATATTTATATATTTATTTAAATAAGAAATATTAAATAGAAGATAAATATAAGTAGATTTGATATTATCTTATGGCGAAGCTTTTTAGAAGCTATATAGATGCATATTTGACTTCATACATATTTTTAATTAATTAATAGGTTAGAAACTAGGCCAATAAATTAGCCATGTATTGCACTTGTTGATAGCTTGTTGTAAAAATTAACAATATGGCGCACATATGAGAAACTTGTCTTGTAAGTTAGGATACATGTTTCATAAATTGGACATGTATCAGAGATCCTATAGAATATTGCTACATAGCTCTTAGTTAGATAATATATATGGAAATAAGAGTGAAGCCTTCTTCACTCTTATCAATATATTTGTAGTCTTTATTCTTATTTCAAGACTTTCTAGTCTTCTTATCTTTGGTAGTAGCCATTTTAATTTAATATTATAGCATCTTTATGTAATTATCTAGTCTTTTTTGAGTGATATAAGAGTGTATTGATCTTTAAGTTCTTTGAAATTCATGTCATTGACATCACTAGATTTTTATTTAGTAAGAAGTAAAAATAAAAAATAAATAAATATTTTTATATAGATGACTTTTGTTTTTTTAGCATTATTAAAAAAAATAAAAATCTAAGTTATTATAAGTAATTTATAAATATTTAAAGATAAGAATTTAAAATTATAAAAAATTATGTGAATTGATTTTATTTCAAAAATAATTTGCTTAAGGAGTCAAAAATTTAAGCTTCACCAAGGCTCATAGAGTTGTGTAAAAGGTGTTCTACAAAGGCCAGAAGACCTTAGTCTTGTCTTCATACCTATACCCAAAGTGCTACAATTCATATGTGACATGTACACCTACTTTCTTATAAGCACTATACAAGTCGATGGTCTTCTTATTTTCTATTAATAAACTTATTTTTTGCAATTTTGACTATACTATGGTGTATTAAAATGAAATATTAGCCATAGAATCATATAAGGCCTTCAAATATTATTCAAATTCTTTATAATGGTTTTACAAATTAGTAACACTTTTAATCTAAATATTTTTGTATTGAAATAACTTAAACTTAATTTTCAATGATTCCACTAATTAAGATCCATTGGTAGAATTCACATCGATATCTACATAGTAAAAAAGAAGATGTACACCTAATGATTTCCAAAATCTAATGCTAATAAGAATGATTATGTTTATATTGTTCATATAGAAAAAATATTGTTCAATATTGTCTTAAGAAGAAATAAAATTAGAAGATAAGAAATATAAATTTTAAAGAAAAAAATATGTCAAAAAATAAAAAATTTCTAGCAATTTTAGCATTGCAATTTTTAGTTGATTATAATAATCTTAGTTAAAATAATTTTAGGTTTAAATATAATATAATATAATAATTTAAAAAAATATTATAACTCAAAAAGATTAATTTTAAAGTATTATTGTAAAACATTTAAAATTTATTTATTTTAAAATTTGAGATTGATTTTATGAGTTAATTAAATGTAAGTCAAAAACAATGTATTGATTACTTTTTTTAAACAACCAATTAAAAATTGGTGGAAAAAATAAAAAAGTAAAATTTAATAACTTATCTTTTAATAAAAAATTATAAATATTTAAAAATCAAATTAGATTTGAGTTTTTTAGAAAAAATGTATGTTTTTTAAATTTTTAATGTTTAATTAAATATGCTAAAATTTTAATAAATTAATTTTTCTAATTAGAAACTAATTGCTTTAAATCTAATCTTAATTTGGCTACAAATCACAAAATAATAATTTTAAAAATTGAAAACTTACAAATAATATTTGAATAAAAATAATCATTCTATTGTTGCATGTAAATTAACTTTTATAATTTTTATTTAAGAAATTTCTGAAAAAGAATTTAAAGACTTTAAATATGAGAGATTATGCATACAACTATGTCATAATTCACAACTAAATTTTTTGAGCATGAATAAATACATAATTATATCTTTACTTATTTTGAAACCAAATTTATTATTTTATAATTACAATTAAAAAACGTATATTTGAAAGGAAAAAAAAGTTTCTCGTTTAGAAAATTTTAGTATTTATATATATATATATATATACTATTTGTAAGTTTTCATATATGATCCATTGAAGTACTTTTTACGTAAGGTTTTCATTTTTTTCTTTTTTCTTTTTTCTTTTCCTGGAAGCATTCTTCGAGCATGATAACACAAACACTCCCACGTTCAACAAATTGCAGCCCATAGATGGAATTCAATCCTCGTCTTTTCACGACTTTTACTTTTTGAACTTCGCGTCTCGCGCTCCGTGGCGCATCACGACGGGGAGTGTGCAGCTTGAGTCCAAGCATCCAATTGCCAACGGAAATCCTTGATGCCCTTAACCAACTGGTTTCATCGTCCCGTACTGAACGGTTGCACATAATTTCTGTCTACGAGCATGGATTGGGAACAGTGTATTTTTCCCTCTCTCCGCAAGAATGGCCCCAGATTGATGCAGAAGCTCACACGCACCGATGGGGCCTGAGATTGAGGCTCGAAGAGCACGTCGTGGCTGGCAATCTAGGGTAGTGTCTGGGTGGGAGAAGCGTGGCTGCTTTTTCTATCCCTGAGTTTCTCGTTTTTAGCCTTAAGTGGTGGGCCTTTGTCCTATTTTCCTTTCATATTTTCGACTTTGGGTTGTTGCTCGTTTTCTTCGTGTTTGAGGGTTTTAGAGCCCCGTGAGCTTGGGGTTTCTGTTGCCCTCGCTCGTTATTTCTCTTCATCTACACAAAGTTAGGGTGGAAGATCCCTGACAATTAAGATGTCGGGTCAGGGCGTTATTCGAAGGTGACCTATCATCGGCATTTGTTGCCAACACGTCACACCGTTGACTCCTGCAAGCCTTCTCAAGTTGCCTCAACTGTTCACAACTTTGTCATTTTGAAAGGCTCAAATGACTCATCCGTATCGGGCTGAAAATTACACATCAAAAGCCCGACAGAATTACTGTGTTGTTAATTGCTGCTTCGAATTGCTGGTTGCTATGACTTCACCTGATTTCGTGGTCAAAGCTAACCGAAGCGGGTTTTTGATTGCCATTGCACAAAACAGTACATAATCTGACAAGCTATTTTCGCCACTGGTCTGTCAAGTGTAATGAAACTGTAGTTTGGCTCATCCAAATCTGCGGTGGCTTTCTTTAAAGAAGCTTCAGGGCTTTTGAGTTATTTCTGAGTGGACCAGTGATAGAGAACAGCAAAATGCGGTGTTCGTAATTCGTACTCTAGTTTTGTTCTCAAAGGATGCACGAATGGTTTGGTTTAATTGCTTTACCTTAAATTTCATCTGACTCTTTTTTCCTTGTTTTTGTTAAATGGGAAAATTACGATTATTATTATATTTTTTTTTTCATTTTTTTTGTAGAGTGGAGAGCCAAGGCGGCATATAGGGCATTTGAGGAGGACGAAGCGAAGAGACGGTAGAGGACGCGTACGGAGGTGGTAGTGCGGGGAAAGATGTTCAACGCTACGCACCCACATTTTGTAACTGGGAATTTCACCCCGCAGAATGTGTTTCTCGGCGATCAGGAGTATGGGCTGGCGCTTGATTGCTTGGTGAAAGCTTGCACGGATCTGCTTATACTTGACTCCGACGATTCTGACTGCAAAGTGCTCTTGGGCAAGCGCATCGTGGAGCCCCAGCCAGATTGGTGGTACGATTCGCTTGCTCATCTATGCATAATTGATTTGTGGGTTTTCCGCTTCAACATTGCGTTTCGGAATGCTGGCTATGTTGAAGCGATAAACACACATTCTGCCCAGGAAACAAAATATGTGGATCTTCGAATTGTAAATCGCCTGCTTCTGTTCAGAGTGCTTTTGTTATGGCTGTTCATTCGATTCCTGCAAACCCTAATGTGCAGGTATGTGGGCGGAAGAATGAAGCCGGGCGAGAACCCGGAGCAATCTATCGCGAGATTGGTAAAGCGGGAACTGCACCTCCTCGTAGAACCCAGCCGCTTCCGGCCATTGGGAACTCACTCATATGCCTGGGCAAGAAGACAGCAAGCTCCCATGGATAATGGCACCTGCGACATCTCAGTCGTTTTAACGCTTGTTCTTCTCCCTGGGGAAGCCGATCGTATTCATATGGACGTGAAAGAGTACGCAGAATTTAGGTGCGCAGGATTTGTCTCAAAGCACGCTCTAGGATTTGAGAATGCTCCCCAGTTGATGCAATCAAATGTCTGCAGATGTCTAAACAATTGTCGATGATTGTTTTCACGCAGATGGTTTTCGATTTCAGAGATAATTGCCAGCGAGAGCTTTCATCCTGCACTTCAGGCTTCCGCACGGTAGGAACTAGTTTCTTTTATAGAGTTTTCCATGCATTACAGTTTTAGATACAGAATGGCTTCGTACATGCCTCAATCATCAGAGAAACTGAAATGAACTGGTCCAATCATGTTGGTTAGTAAAGGGAGAAAAATTGGATATGGTTGCAGAGATATTCGGCGGCGACAATGCTGGCAAAAGCTTGTGGGTGAAGTTCAAAGTGGATGCAGCGCAGTATCTATTGCAGAAACTGCGAAACAACTTGTGGCATTAAGGAACAGCAGTAACTGAGGTGTAGCTGTCGACCCAGGTCAATGTCATTTTGCGATCTAGTTAAAGTGTAGACTCATCGGCAAATATGATGTACCAGTAATTTGGTGGGCATAATCCGCTCTATCATCATGTGCGCTTGTGCTTGTTTGAGCTTTCCACTTTCTACGCTCAGAGTGCAGCGTAACAGTAAGCACAGCTTGTGGCGTGCCATTATTAATTGTGATAATTTGGACTCCTATTAGTATAGATTTGTAAAAGATGGGAGTTAACTGACTACTAGTTATGGCACTAAGTGAGAATTGTCTGGTGCGCTGACTAGTTTGTAAGCATTTCACAACTGGTATTGAACAGAGGTCGAAGTTTATCCTGTTTGATGTTCTGATGTGCACAAAATGAAGGAGGTTGATTAATGAAGTAAAGATCATACATTTATTCAGATTTTCAATAAATTTACATCTATATTTTTGCAGTAAATAACATGGCTATTTTCCTGAGATATAGGAATGCAAGTGCACAAACTGCTGATATTCTGAATAGCTTTCAAAGTGCTTTATGAACGGATCACTTTTCAAGAGAACAGATAATCATGCTGCAAGCTATTGTTTGGCATTTCGGACATCAGTACCATCCAGAATATACTCTACCTTCTTCCACAATCCTCTGCTATCAGTACACATTGTTGCTCCACTTATCACTCCTAAATCACCATGCGCATGATTGATTGCAACAGAAATTAATTTACAAATCTGCCCAGCTACCACCTGCTTGAGCTAAAATTTTGAATTTGCCGGAAAATTAATCTCAACCTATATGTCTAATCTGCCCCGGATATAGGCCTCAAATTGGACTCAAAGAGAATCGAATCCTGATGCATTACAAGCCAATGGTAGGCAATGGATCAGGTCCCGTACTAACCCGGTGCCTGTGGTGATCCTTTATCACTGCTGTTGCTATCGCCAGCGCTGTTCGCAAGTTTTTTGTCATCGCCCTTACCGCTTTCGACCGGAAATGGCTTCCGGAGTGCGAAGAACTGCGGTTTCTCGTCTCCCGGAAGATGTACAAGGACGGCGTCATCATATTCGGAGGAATCCACGAGGGTGGCGTGGCCAGCCTCAATAGCTGTGTGCGGTCTGCTAGGGTTAGACTGCAGCTCTCTACCCGGTTCCCGATGACGCCGATCATATTGACGTTGTTTGACAATTGACCAGCAAAGGAGGACCAGCGCCACAGCGATCAGGAACATCATGCACGACATTCCTGCCATGATGATGATCAGAGTGTGCGGGTTATGGCAGCTCACCACCGTATTCGTCCTCACGTCTCGGCATACGGTCTCTACGGATCCAACAGGACTTGGCGCCGGTGCTTGCACAAACAACTTCCGAGCCCCTGAAATTGTGAAGACCTCACCATTAGGCTGAGAAACAGTGCCGTGAACAAGGTAACAGTGCTGAACTTGGAGATAGAATAAAAATACGGCCAATGTCCGTGCTTTCAGTGTCTCTTCAATCTACAATATAGCCGATCTCCCGATTCTTTGCAAAAGCATCGATAAAGGAATGCGCGGATTGACTCCCCCAGTTCAAAGGAAGGTCAACCAGAGCGTAATTGAAAAAACACATCTCTGAAGACGGCGCTCAAGAGCAGACACGCAATCAACCCAGACACAACTAAGACCCCGAAATCACAGCAAACAACTCTATATCGCAAGATTGTTTGGAATTTCTAAGCGCGTCGTCGTCGAGGTAGCCACAAGGCATCTTGTCGTAATTCAATCATGTCACAACATGACGTTCCCTTGACGAAAGAAGAAAAATTAACGTTCAACAAGTCCTCGGTTCAATACAACACACTCAACTTGCAAGTCCTAGGCATAAGATTTCTGTCCAGGAAAAGTTTTAAAAAATCCTCCATGAGTTGGGTTGGAGTGATATCTATCGCAATCCATTCAATGCAGGCGGCGTGTGCACAAGGATCCACCCACCCTGAAAACCAGATCCATGATCAAGTCGAATTGGTTCCATGTTTACGAATCCGAAAGCTTCAACGCCTGAGGACGAATGAAGCAGAGTCTGCCAATCCAGCCACCTCGCTTTTTCCCCCGTACCTTGGCAAACCTTCCACAAACAGTGATCGCAATCGACCTTGACTCAAAACTGTAATTGAGAAGGGGTTGTTACATCCTCCGTGCAACACAGAAAAACCTCCCATTAAATTCAAAATTCTAAGCACTCTTCAAACTGGATATAATCCATATTGAAATTCAACACAACCTCGCCACCCCCATCTCCACTCACAACTTTAAACCTCTCGCTCAGATGACATAGTTTGACTCTCCAAAGGCGATACACAGATCCTCAACCAGCGGGGAAGTTCGCAATAAACTCTGCAATACGACGCCCATGTAACATATCTCGGAACTCGTAGGTTCCATGGAATTTCAGCCGCCTGCCTTCGCATGCAAGACAAGGGCGATTGCAATGGCTGGACGATTCCCTAAGGACAAAGTACCACGAACCAACCCGACCACAAATAGTAATCATCGTCCTTTTACTCGCAACGAATTATCCAGTAACGAATAAGCATCATTCGTCGGGAATGGCGACGAGGCTTATCACAACCAGGGCAGAGGAACCATTTTCTGTATCAGATGGCTGGTAATTGCGTCGGTACACCAATTTAGTGCCGAGGATTCAGCAAGCAAGTGGCAGCGTGGACCTCGCCCGATATTGCAAGGAACCCCCTCGCCGTCGTGGCCCTAGTGACGCGCTCCAAGGCGAGCCTGTGCGACCAACGTCCGCCGCCGCTACCGTCGTCATGGTCGTCGCCCTTCACTCCATTCCTGTGCGCACCCAAGTATACTACCCAGTCACGTCTCAACGCAGACTTCCAGCAGTACGCGATGGTCTCAATCGGAGTCCAGCTTGGAAACCGTGAGGTCTCTGTGCTAGCGCCAACCCATTTCTGTTCACTGCAATGTGATGTTCACCTCCCTCCGCGACTTCGGAAACGCTGGAATCATGTCTACAGCGGCGTTTCGTGACCACCCACGTCCGGTTTTCGCAACGTCTGCGTGGACATGATAGGGAATGATCGACGCCGATCTAGTGCACACACGGAGGAACGAACAAGCTATTGTAGATATGTCAGTGGGAGCCACGGTGTGGAGCATCGGCCCAGGCTCATCCGTTGCAGGCGCTGCTCATTTCAACGCCACCTTCAGGTCGTGTTTCGCCGTCTTTGCTGGTGCGTTTGCCACAGCCACCGACTCCATGGAACATGTGCATATTGAGGAGCCAATTGTGCAATTGTGTGAGAGCGAATGAATAGGGGGCGTATACTTTAAAAAAAAGAGTGGATACCATGAAATACGTCTTCCTGATTTAAATACTGATTTCGAAGCATATAAGCACTTATATCAAATATCCACCTCTTATATCAAAAGATATTTGCAAAATTTATTTGCCAGACTACAAGACTTCGAATTGACTATGCAAAAGGTGTTTTGCTAAGTAAATCAATTATGTGGCGAATCACATGTGCAAGCAATATTTTAGTTTGTGGAGCAACGCCAATCTTTGCTTACCTAAAGATGCCAAATATGCTATCAAAGTTTTATTTATCGTCAATCTATGAGACCGTGTTGAGAAAGTCATTGTTTATCAAATTGGCTTTGCTAAAGACTACTTTCTTTGATGAAACCAGACTAGACATAGTGAGTTGCGGATGGATATTAGTTGAATAAGACGTGATGTCAAGAAAGTAAAAAAAGACAGTGAGAATAAGTGCAATGACAACAATTTCACCAAAAATTTTGGAAAATATACAGGAAGGAACATAACAAAAAAGAGGATAGAAAGCAGCTAATATGATATATATATATATATATATATATATATATGTGTGTGTGTGTGTGTGTGTGTATATATATATACTTATATAAATATACAATGGCGAAAGAATAGGCAACAAACATAAAATATTATTGGATCTTTTTTTGTAGAATATAATTCTATTGAGGTAGGAAAGATGATACGATGATTTGAAATTAAATAAACTTTGAATCATAATTATTTTAATGCTAAGTAAGTCTTTTTTAGAATTTATTACTAATATTATTTGGAAATGGTTAAAATATATAGTTGGATAAGTTTTTATCATCTATAAAAATTACAAATCTAATTCAATATTTATCATGTAATGATTCTAATCACTTTCATTTGTCAAGAATATATGAAGGTTTATTTGCCAATATTACATCACATTTACATCAAAAAATTACAAATAATTGAACACATTTTTTTTATAAATATTATTTTTTAAATTTTAGATATAATCAAATATTACATCTTTTTAATTTGAATAAATGAATATTACACTCTTCTTCTTTTTTTATTTTTATTTTTGGATCAATATTTTTTAAAAAAGTCGTCAATTTTTGACTTAATAACCTACAAATTAAAATTATACAAATTTTTTTTGTATCTAATAGCACATACATATATATATATATATATATATATATATATATATATATATATGTTAAATGAATGATTAAATGAATAAGTAAATACACAATAGTGAAAGAATGAACAACAAATATAAAATATTAATAGACCTTTTCTTGTAGATTATGATTCTATTGAGATAAGAAATTTAACATTTACCTTTCAAAGTTTTAAAAGTATGAAGTATTTTATTATATTTTCAATAATTGCATAAAGAAATAAGAAATAGTAAGATGTCTTCAAATTGATAATTTCATGCATATCTTTAAAGTTTATTAGTTGTATTATATAATGTAAATATTTGATAAAATAATTATAATCTTTATGAGAGAAGTTGTTTCTATAAATAGGAAAATATTCTAAAAAATTGGATTCTTCTTTTTCTACTTCACAAGTTTAAATTTCTAATAATTTCTAATAATAAATTTCTAATAATTTCATGTATGAACCAGGTATATAAAATTAAAAAATACATGGTTTTTTCTAAATACAACTTATAATTATTTTAAATATATATTCTAACATTTTTTGATAAGTATTTTGTATGTTGTTAAGTCAAAAATTGATTACTCTTAAAAAAACCATTTATTCATGTATGTTGGTGTGGATATATATATATATATATACACACACTCGAAACTCAAAACTTCATTTTTGTGTAACTTTATAGTGATTAATTTTATTATTATGTGTTATGTAACATTAGTATTTTTAATTAACTATTATTACAAAAATACATTAGTTTTAAATTATTTTAGAACATACATTCTAAAAAAATCATTGATTTGTATATTACTTTTTAAGCCAATTTCAGTATATGATATTTTTTAAAGCTTTTTTTGAATGTAAACACATGAGAAACTGTAGCAAAAGTGTTCTTTTTCTTTTCTTGTTCAAGAAGTCTTCATTTAATAAAATGTGACTGTTTAAATTAAGGGAACTATTAAGTGGACACCCCTCTCATGGAAGCAAGGACACTTTCCTTCTTTTATGTAGTTTTTTTCATCCACTTTGAATGCTCATTAATTTCATTTAAGGATTTATTATTGTTATTATTAATGTGTCCTAAATTTTTTTCACAGCAACAAGTGCTGCACACATTGATGGTAGATTAAGATCCATCCATCCATCCACCCATGTTTTCATTCAGACAGGCAGCCAAATCATCCATCCAGAGACACAAAACCATTCATCCATGCCAAACAGAAGAAGTGGATTGTAAAGAGTCGGGTAAAAATATGGAAAGAACTTCTATGCCTTCACTGTTCCAAAGCAGCAGCTGGGGAGCGATGAGCGAACGACGGGTGGGGACTTCGGGTACGCGGATGAGAATAATGGAACGTCCCCGTTCTCGAATCACGTTTTTACTTGGTGGTGCGATGGCGGCCGGACAAACGGCCGTGTCGCGGGGACCGTCAGCCGCAGAAACTGCCGCAGCGGGAGGAAGACGACCGAGCCTGCTGCTCTTCTTCTAGACGTGCCTGAATTTGGACTGCGTTCCGGGCGCCGTGTCGCAATGCTTGGAGCTCGGAACACCCCTCACTCTTGGCCAAAGCACGTCCACGGAATTCCATGCCATGCGTTCTCTTTTCCTCCTCCTATTTCCCCTCCGCATCATTTCGCTAATGGACGAGAGGTCACGCTCTCAACCCTGAGATCCAAGAGCGAAAAGAAATACATTCCAACGATACTTCCATCCGTCGCATCCAGGAGCTCTGACTTTGAGTTCAACTCCAGTGCGACAATAATGCCTCGTGTTTGCTTTTTTATCCGTCATCGATGAGCGGTTCGGATTCACGCACCCAAGGCATCGTGGACTTTTGGCGGCTCTCGTGACCAAACGGCTTGTGGGGTACTGGAGCCTCTCCCATCATGGTAGCATCACCGTAATAGCGGAGAGGAAGAGGTCACGAGAACGCTTGTGCACAAAGAAGTAGATCTCTGAAATGCGATGAAAGGACTTTCTAGGGGCTGCAGATGGGGTTAGGTAGTCGCGCTCCACAAAATTAGAATCTAGTAATGGCGTCTGGCTCCGCGGATCCAATACTGGCTGTGAGCATGTTAATGCACCGAATTAGGTCGTCAGAGGAAATGAGTCCAATGGACAGCTTTTTACTGCAGTTCTTGGAGTTCCCGTTGACTTGGATACCGTCGAAGAAACTGACCACCCGTCGCCTTTCTCGTCGTTCTAGTCTACAATGATTTAGGCAAAAATGAAATTTGTGTGTTGTCTAAATTAACTTTCGCTTGCAGTTGGTTTTGGTGGGGACAACCGGCGACGACTAAAGTAGCAGCTTTGGCAGTGGAAACATAACTTTGACATGGAATCTAGATGTGAATGAAAAGTATATTGTACACTAGGTTGTCATGTATGTGTGTGTATGTACGTATTTGTACGGTTTTTAATTATTTTATTAAGAAAATATTCAACAGAATCAACTTCAATCTTTTTCCACCTAACCTAAAATGAGATTCATTGGGCAAATGGATTGATGTTATAAATGGAAAGTCTGTAAGGTTGATCCTTTTTGTTTTTGTTTCTATTTTGATGTTGACATCGTGAGAGCAGAAAGAAAGCGAAGAGCAACCAAATCTAGATAGTGCAGTGACACAGCCATCCCATTGACATTTATTTATTTATTTTATTTATTTTTTTTCATTACCTGCCAAATTATCATATTTCAATAGTAATTTTAAATGAACCAAACCAGAAAACTCAATACTTTACACCTCACACAATAATGTGTGAATTGCCTCCTAATAAATAACATACGTAATCACTTTTTGCAAGTCATGCTTGCTCAAAATCCCTATTCTACTAATCACAATGATGTGTGAACTGCTTCCTAATAAATAACATATGTAATCACTTTTCACAAGTCATGCTTGCTCAAAATCCCTATTCTAATAATGTATTCTCATATACTTTTGTTATTACTTAAAATATAAGTAATCCTTCCTTTAAATAGACGACTTATTTTTGAATGAAATCTACATATTCAATATCACATTATAACAGTGGATATTAGAAAAGGATGTTCACATGTAAGAATAAGTTTGGAAAAGAAGTGCAATGTAGATAAAAAAAAAAGAAGCATATGTGTTTTGCAAAAACATTCCTAGATTTGACCAACAA